CATGTCACACGGTGCGTTACAACTAAGCAAATCCCTTATCGCGGTAAACGCATGCTTATTAAAATCTTTTGAAGTTGGCTGTCTAATTTTATCTTATCTTATCGTCTTATATTCTCTTAATATAATTCCACAAATCTCTATTTATTAAATAAATTATTATTATTTTTTTCCTCTTCTTTTATTTTTAATATTCGTGTATAATGGAAAATTTACCAAAGTTGGAGAGAAAAGAGAGAGGGAGATGAGATAGTGATGTGTAAAGTCTTTATGGAAGAAAGTGTAACGAACAAAGGTAAGAATGAATAACATTTCAAGCAGTTTGCAGAAGCAAACAACTACTGAAAGGATACAAATTTTAAAGCTATTATTAGAGAAAATTATGACTATCGACGCAAGTTGATAATGGCAAATGTTATGTATGAAATATGAGAATGCGGATTCTCCCAACACAGGCATAAGATATATTTTAATAATTAAATCATGATTATAATATAGCGTTTTATGTACAAAGTACTACATTCAGTTTATTTCACCAGTATTTGTTAAATATACAAGTCCTGCATAGAATATGTATTTGTGCGTTAGAAACTATGGAGTGAGTGAATATTTACTACGTTGACCAATGAATTATTTAATAAATATTTAATAAATGTTGGTAGATTTTCATAATCGGCAATCTGGTGTATTTACAATAACACATTTAGTATTAAGCAGAGTAATTAGTATTTTTAAAAATTCAGTATTTTCTTGTAATCACCATTGGATTCACACTACATTAAACTTTGTCATCTGATTATTCATGCGTATTTAATGTTGCAGAAAAAGTTGTAAATAAGGAAAATTACGATAATCCGGTTGATTAAGCGACACGCCTCCTAATTTATTATAATATAAACGTATATATAATCAAATTAAATATATATAAATTTATTCGAATTAGAAAATTTATTTTATGATGATGGATATACATTTGAATAAGATTTATCTTCAAGTTCAGAGCGAACATTTACATATGTACGGATGAAAAGTTATAAAACTAATAAAAATCATACTTTTTACCTATTTTATGTGTAATAATACAGTTAATGTAAATAAATATTTATTTACAGATAATGGATATAAATTTTCAAAAATTCTGTCTACGTCTCATCTCATAATACTGTCTCGAGTTGCTTATTAATTTGTAAATTTCAATTAATCAATGCATGAAGCTTAGTTAACTAATGTTAAATTTAAAATTAAATTCGTAAAATTGTATTACACACTTCTTTGACTTGGGAGGGGGGCGGGGATATATATATATATATATATATATATATATATATATTATATTTGCAAGTCTCTTTAAAAGTTTATAAATGGAGTTGCTTAAATTGAAATCAAAAACATTATCTTCAACACTTTTTCTAACCATCTTAAGCAAACATAAATATATAGACAATCGAAGGATAAACTGAAAAAAAAGAAGATATATTTCGTTGTTTGACTATAAATTTTTTATCAACTAAAATAATTGTATATAATGTATTATATGAATTTTCCTCCGTTATGTTTATACGGAATGATGGAGTGAGTGTCCGTATCGGTGATCATTACTTTAATTTAAACACATAAATCAATAAAATAAGAACAATGTATTATTATACAAAAAGGAATGCACGAGGAAAACAGTATTAAGCCATTAAAAATTCTAGAAATTCAAATTGTAAAGGAAATGTTGTAGATTAACTTAATTTACATTTCCCTGTTAATTTCCATACAATTAATTCTCAATTTCTTTTTATGTGCTAATTATTTGCCAGTTTCATTTGAATGTAATATACTATTTTATATGATATTAATTATTTTTTGTTAATTAGAATGTTGAAATTTATTTGCAAATTTTATGAAAGAAATCGAGGAAGCCAGCATTATTAATTAAATAATATTCTTCATTCGTTATTCTTCAAATGTCCAAATAAAAACTCGAAGAAAAGCTGTACGAATAATAAAGGGCAACTTAAATAGAAATTTATTCATAAAATTTGTAATTCATCGTCTCAACCTAAATACTTTAGCTTTCGTTGTCTTTTGTTTTCTAAATTTTTTCAAGCGTACATACTGTAGCCGTATTAACTTTCGTAATGTAAAAAGTGCTTGGAGAAAAAGTACTTTCTTCATTTAACGAAAGCAAAGGCTATTTAATTATACTCGTTTCGGCGAGACGACGACTCGGAGGACGACGAATGTCCATCCAAAATTATTCGTCCAATTAAAAAAGGGCGTTAATACACTTGTGTCGAGTCAGTCATTGCGAATCATCTAAAATGCACTCAATTCCACTCGAAATGCTTACAAGTGCTTTGAACCCGTCTAACTCTGGCCTTACTCCGAGATTCTCCATTGGCGATGGAAATCTTTCGATTGCCGCGAGTATGTTCAAAACGTATCTTATTGCGGTCCTCGAGAGCTGCCGATTTCATTCGCATTCACTGCTCCTTGTGTTATTACAAGAAGACGGAATGTCCGATACGCATATTTCGAAAGCACATATTGCGCGAGAAGAGAAGTATGTGAATTTATAGAGATGTAGCTTTGAAATACAAGAGTACTTTACATTTTAACCATCCAACTAGTTTCGATTAAATAGCGGGTTTGCTTTGCGATCAACGTAACCCAAAATTGTTGAAAATTAGATAGGGGAACGTCATGGAAACGATAAGTCGACAATGTGTTGGCACACATATTGTCACAGTGCTCTTTTAACGTGTCCTCCTACGCGTTACTCAAATATTCCGTTTTATAAATATGTTTTCTTTTGTGTATGATTCGATTTTTTTTTTTTTTACCATACACCGCCTGGTAATCTTTTATCTTTTCAATAAGGATATAGATATATTAAAAATAAAATTATAAAACCGGCATTTGATGCGTAAGAAAGGCGGCATACCAATAAGCTCATAATAAAATTATTATTTTATTTGCAAATTTTACAGTGCAGAAGAATCGTTACGTCGAAGGCGGTGGTAGGGGGAGGGAGAGGGGGGGGGGGGATGGTGGTAGGGATGGGGGTAGGGGGGTTGCGGGACAATGAAACCATTTAGACTTATATGAAAAATGGAAATGTTTGTATTTGCATACTTGCTATCGCTATTAAAATTGAAATGGCATAAATTAGAAATTTATGTTCCAATGGCGTTTTCTTAGAATTATCGACGGCTTATCGCGACTACGATACTCCCGTCAATGAAAATGCACAAAAAGCTCTAAATCCGATAATAATTGACCAATTAATTACAACGTTTGAATGACGAGTATAGAAATAAATTTCTTCTCACAATCTATATAAATAAGAGCGTCTTATAATTTCTAAATTAAAAAGTATCACGATAGACTATGTGAATGTCGCACAGGCAGAGCCACGGAATAGAACGCAACTTTCGCAAGATCTCAACATAAATATTTATTCAATTGATATGGCATTAAACAAGCTGTCTCTTGAGATAAAATTATTCCTGCTACAATGTGCGAATGATTGAACGATAAGCAGTGATTGGTCGTTAAGCGAGTCATGCTTAAACCGTAACGATTCGATCGATCTTATCGATTACGATGGAGATTAAAGGTCAGCGGGCGATTATTTTCTTGCATCATCCGAGGTCCAATGCTGCCGGCGACTTTGCGCTTTTTTTCTCTTCGGTTTGACAATCCACTGTCCATCTCGAATTACACGAGGAAGGAGAGGCAGAGATGCGGTTTGCGTGAGGATAATCGCAGAGAGTGCAAGAGGTATTTCCACAAGTTGTGCCCTGGGCTAACCAACTATCTCTCCATTTCCATCGATTTCCTATTCGATTGGCCATTTTTATTTCTATTTTTTTTTCTACCATCGCACGACACATCTAGACGACAACTTGGCGCTTGTTCTTTGACAATTAGAATTCAAATTACTACGCTCGTTAAACTGTTTCTGGAAGAATGAAAAGGGTAATATCAGTGGGCCGGTAAAGCTGGTTGTGTCACGTAAAATACTGCTTTTCCGAATGAAATGGAATAGTATCGCACTAGTAATGGCAATAGTATCGCGAGAGTGAAGCTATTGGTAATTATAGGATAAAAATGATTATTTCTGTCATTCTATGAAGGACATGTTCATTTTTCTATTCTTGACCATGTCCGGACAAATATTTCTAAATTACTCTTTTATATTTTTTAATAAACCTGTATGCTCTTGACATACCAACAGCCATATAATATATTCTAGATAGTTTTTTTTTTCTTACACGTGTTATCGCATTTCGTACTGAAAAACTAATATATATATATATATATATTTTTTTTTTTGCCATTCACACATTTGCATGAATTAAAATTAAAGTGATTGGATTAGTTAAGTATGTATAGAAAATTATGTAGGTATCACATAACTTTTGATATGGATCAAATATCGTGGCTTATTTTTTTAATACACACACCACACACGCTATGCGCGCCCGCGCACACATATGAGAGAAAATTTTATTTTTAAGCGTCTAAGCTCATCTCCACTCTTATATTGATTATAATTTTTGCTTTATTCAATTAAACTTGCGTAATATATTGTGTACAGAAGTCAATTCTAAATTTTCTCAATTTTCTATATTATAAGAACCTCGTGCATGCACTCATGCTTAATGAAATCTTTCACAAGCATTAGATATTTCATTTATTAATTCATTTATTAACTCATATGTAAAATCTACTTAAAAGATATGCGAATTATTAGTGCACATTGTCAAGAATGTTTATACTTAATATGGTAATAAATAAAATTTATTATTTAATAGTGATATATTAAATCTGAAAAGTTAAAAAATCATGAAAAATCCCTTTTATTTATGGCTGGGCAAATATTCTGCTATCTCATTGTACGCCAAAAATAAATAAGCATTACCGAGACTTACATCCATCAAGATGTGACTCGCTAATTATGCAAATGGGAGCAAAAAATTAATAAATATTTATTAATGATTAATTTACAGAACGAGTTTGAGCCTCAGTGCCACGTATTTCGTACAAAACAATTGCGCAGACCACGACCATGTCAGCTGTGTCACCAGGCAATGGTAAAGCAGGCATCTTGCTGCCGAGGTAAGCGCCCATAAAGTATTTTCGCACGTCGATAATGTAGATAACGCTGGCGATTTACCGTCAGCGCGGCCGGAAGTTGATTTGATCGTACAGTAGACGCGTTTACGGCACTTTTAATCACCCGTTTATTTCTATTATTATTGTCGTTCACTTTTCAAGTATTTTTTAAGACATACGAGTTTCTTTTTAGCTTACATAAATAAATTCATCTGATAAACACAATGATTTATTTTATTTACAGTTTGCAAATACACTTGTCATAAGGCGTGCGAGGATAAGGTGAGTAAATTTTACAGATTTTACTCGAATTTATATTTTAATTGCCTATAAAATGCCTTTTAATAGCATAATGTAAATTATGCATTAAAAATATATAGGATCATACGTGCGCCAATTTTCTTATTAATTTAATTGAATTTTTAATTTTCCTAATATAGTTGATAATATTCATAGTATTTTATAATTTTCATTCGAGTGTGGCACATTTACAGTCGATGTTTTACATCACACGTTTTTCTGTAAAATTGAAATTGAAATTAAATTCGTACGTTTTTAACATTATATTTATCCTAGTAAATTATTGAAATCGTTATTACTTTTAACTATAATCCAAGTAAACATCTTTTTTTTTTTTTTTTTTTTTTTTTTTTTTTTTTTTTGTTATGATTATTTGTAAATTATTAAGAATATCATAAGTATTTTGTTGTATTGTTTTTATCAGTTTCATTGGTGTCTCCTCAAAGGACTTAAATTAATACTTAATAATAGAGAGCAATAAATTAATAAGCGGATAATGTTTTATGGATAATGAAGTTATACTGCAGCTATAATATTATAAGAGTAATAAATAGCTGAAATAATTTTAGTTTATTAATAGCCAATAAATAATAAGTCACTATATTAAAATAATTTACTTTTTTCCGCGGTAAAATTTAATATTCGTTATTAAATATGAAACTATTGCCGTACGAATTAAGAATGACCTTAAATTGTGGCATAACGAAGCGTGCCGTGCGTTAGAAGATAGCAATACAATCATTATATACTTATGACAAAATTCTATGGTCATTTATAATTATTTAATGATCCTTCGAGTCATATTGTAATGACCTTATTATCAAATGTATTCGTAAATTTAATCGATATTTATATAACACCAGTTCCAATTACATTGGATATACCATAATATGGCAAATCGGATAATTAATAAACATATATACACGATTATAATTGATAATTATACGATCGTGTCATTATAAATGAATAGATAAAATGTAAGGTAAAGGCCGGTGTTAATGTGGTTAGAGAAGTTGTGTCGCTTATTAATCTCACACAAGCATGTACAATATAATTCAGACATAAATGAGTGTACTTTGTTCCAAGTGCAGAGCATAATGAGCACGAAACTTTATAAAACGATCATCAATTAGTGACAAATGAATTTCTCAATAGGCCACAACGTGACAATCTGTCCAGACAAAATGAAAATATCCTAATACCGTTGCACCATCCTCACGTCCCAGCGTAGCGAATAGAGAATCTCATTCGCCTCGATAATAAACTCTTTAAGCTTTCGAAGGCTGCGCGAGTATTTAAAATGAAAAAAGACGGGCGGATGAATTGCAATATAAGCTGGTAAACTTTTATTGCCCTCGGTTTACAGTACCGTGCCATTCGCGCGTGATCTTTCTTGCAATATAATGACGACGCATAACGACGTCGAGGCGATTGCTGGCGGCGCGTAACACGCGGACGGAAGACTCGATTATCGAACGATCACTACCTACTACACATTATACGCACTACGACTCGCTCATTGAATTATCATCGAAAGTTGGATTAAAGGATTAACATTGCCCATGTTTTTATCATACATATCTCCTCCTGCGCCCCGAGAAGTTTATGGGCCTCGGGAGGAAGATTAGGCTAGATGTAGATTATAATGTCTTTAATATATTAAAATGCCGCAAGTACCATAACGAGTCTCTATTTACATTTCAGCTTTTTTATAGATAACTTTTAAAGATTACTCATTAAAAACATATGGTTTTAAATTGAGGTACACTGTTGTCGATTCTTATCGCCATATATATATAAATTTTTTTTTTTTTTTTTTTTATTTTTATTAT